CCAGGGAATGTCGTCAAGTGCTGGGGGTGAGCAAAGCGAGAAAGCGAACTTATATGGAATTTTTGCCAGCGGAAGGAACCCCTGCCAAACTCTAACCAACATTACTGCCGAGGTAACTACTTCCCGCTCTGGAGGAACTTGTTAAAGCACGCTCATTTATACTTACTTGCATGTTCCTCAATTGAGGCATTGGCGGTAGCTACTTTCAGCCTGTATTAGTTGATGATTCCGTGCATTTCCCACATGGTTAGGCTTCCAAGGGCCCGAACATTCTTGGATGCTACTACCTATAGAGGTACACAGGTTTTACTCGAAAGTTGCTAGTACATTGTTACCACATAGGGGCATACTCATGTTATAGGCTCTTTTTAAAATATAAAGCTTTTCTGCTGCGCGCCAGCTCATTGTAGTAGCGGTACATAGTACGGCACGTTTCTAAACATGTGCTATATAGCATATGTTTATAAGCGATATGTGTGCCGTACTATGTATACGATATGTCATGTATGACGTGCGATGACGTATCAGACAGTTGTTTAAGCGGCCTCCGTAGCAACCAGCTACTACATCGGTTGCAGACCTTAAAGTCGCCATATCGACCGCAATAGTTTACATTACACAATAAACATCGTGGCTGACGACGAGGTCAGCCATGGCGACCCTCGGCACAGATACCAGGACAGAATGCAGAGGTGTAACTGGGGGAAAGACTCTGCCTGAATTACCTACTGACTCGGCGCATGTGGGGTGGTTGAGCACATGACGTGATCACGTCATGAGGTGGTTGAGCAACCACTTCCCGACGCCGGTAGGGCCCGAGATGGATCCCTCCTGGAGGACGAACGTAGTAGCTGCTATATAGTACGGCACACATCGTCTATGATTACACGCTACAGTGCTCTGCCAGTATTATACAGGCCTTTTCAGCGGCCAGTTACTTCACTTATTTATGGACCGTCCAAACGAATATAAAAATATGAATGAGGACTTCATGCCCACGGGACGGGAGCACTCTTAGAGGAGGCACCCGGCGCGTGCATGTTGAGTTGCATGCATGGCTCATGGATTTAGTAGACTGACTACATTATCGCAGCTGGTTCGTGCTACCAATAAGCAGCACTGCAATTGATGAGTCATTACCAGCCATTGGTTCTCCCATTACCAGCCATCGATGCTCCCTACTTCATTTGCCTTTACTAACATTCCTGCGCAGGATGAATTATTATGGCGAGATTGGTCAAGATCCCTACAGAGTCCGATACAGCTACACTCCGATGCTGGTCGGATTCTGATGGAGACACGTGCACAGCCCACACATCCTCGCCACGATCTATCAGTCGTTGCTTGTGCTGACGATTAAATAGCGAGCCAGGTCGCTTGAGCGAGTGAGGTGGATCCATCTATCCGTCCATCCATGCATCAAGCGATCAACAGCTGTGTGTGCCCCACTTAGCCAGCAGCAGTTAGTAACAGACCGTGCGAAAATAGCATCCGCTCGGCATGCAGCTTCCTATCAGCATGCCGGCCATAGTATGTTGGTTCAGGTCGGCAAATGTCATCTGCACTACTGGACTGAAGCAGCCAGCCAGCAGCAAGCCTGGACAGCACGGCTCCCTGCAGCAGCCTCGACTAGTGTTCAAGGATGCAGTCCCCCGCGCGCTGTCATTTGTGCCTGTTCCATGTATGTACATAGGTTGCTAACCTGTTTGGCTTATAAACCATGCATGTAGTTATCATCATGCATGTTAGATAGTTATCTTCAATTCGGTACTTGCTACTAACATCAGCTGTGTTCGTCGACCCAACTTACCAGCTAATTGGATTATGCTGGCAAACTGGCTCGGTGTTCATATGCGCGTACTTGTGCAAACGCGCACAATATATAGATTATGGGTAATTAGCATGCGTGCGTGTGCGGCATTCTTTACTGGGCTGTTTGTCGGAAGAGAAGTGGTGTGACGCTGTTGTCTCTGCTGGTGTTGATCCTAGGATGCTAGGCTCTTCAAGGAGTTGGGAACCCGGCCTTGAAGAAAGTGAGGATGCGGTAGGTGGCGTGATCCCTTGCCGTAGACGGGTCTGTTGATCCGTTAATCAGCAGATTCTACCGTCAATATATTCGACGAACATCCCAACGGTAGGTGGGTACCTAACCCGAGTCCCAAGTATGTGCACATAGTCCGGGAAAACTGGTTGGCTGGCTTGCTTGGTCGGATAAGAGCCCCCAATACAGAGATTTACAAGCCGTGAACCAACGGGGCTAAATAAGCTCAAAAATAAACTCGTATCCCCCGGCCAATCCCGCACACACTTTGCGAGTGTTGCATTTCGTTTCGTTACCTGGTGTCGAATGCAATAGCTGGTGCGCATGCGATCTGTCGTTTCTAGGTGTTTATGAGACCACTACCACGATTGGTTATCGATACCGTCTCCATGGCCGCTCACTCACTACCTTCAGTGTACTTAGCCTAAGTACACTGAAGGTAGCCAACCCTGAGGGTTGACGTAATGTGCCATTCATAACGACCAGCGGCTGAAGTTGGCGAGCCTTACCAACTGTACCTGGCTAACTAAGGGGGGATTTTGTAGTAGCTGCCGTATAGTACGGCACACACATCGTCTATAAGTACGCACTAAGGCGCTCTGCCAGCGTCTTGGGAGGCCTTTCCAGTGGCCAGTCTCAAATAGCAGGCACTGCTACGGCATAATAGTCTGGATAGTTCAGTTATTTCGACATATGTTCTCTTCTTAAGCGATAGTATGTCTTGTGTTTTTTTAATGATATCTTTCTATTTCAGACAGCTGTCTGAATGCTGCAGCCTTCTGCTGGCCCTTGGGCTCCAGTCTCGTATGGGCCTGTTGCATGGTTAAACATGCAATTTGGAGAGTAACCCACATGAGGTGTAACACACACAATAGGAACGAACACGTGCGCAAACTAACTTTATGCGGGGGGAGGTACGGGTGGTGCAATCTCACTAGCGTGCCTGCCAGCATGTGAACCCACCATCAATCCCCGACCAGGTGCACACCCACTCAATTACCTTCCTGGCAGAGATGGCGTCAAGAGGGCCCGACGATTCATGCATGTTGCCTATGAGGCTCTCCGCACAGGTGTTGTGATCAGAGATCTCGTTTTGCGCGCCTGCATGCATGCCATGTATATCAACCACGGCATCCCCAATGCAACAGTACCCGTGGTCGAGGCTGCTCTGGCCGTCAAGCACAATTATTACACGGGCCCCCGTGCTAGTAATGTGTACCGCATGGCGGCACCATACACCCCCCCCTGCTCTTTCATGCAGACAGTCACGATATTGAGTGATCTATCACTCAAGAGTGTGTATGGCCGGTCCTGGACATTTTGGGATGAGCTCAGAATGAAAGGAAATTCATGTTTTCTGGAAAATTCTGAAATGAGCACGAAATGAGCACGAAACGAACGCCAAATGAAGGGAATCCCGGGAATCGAAGGGAAGCCGGTTCCCAGAGTGTCAAGAGTGTGTATGGCTGGTCCTGATGCGGTATGACCTCTGCTCCCCGTGTGCTTCACCGTGTCCTACAGCTTGCAGCGCTGCCACCGCCATCACTGCCGCTGTAGCTGCCGCTGCCGTCGCTGTCACCGTGCAATCTTCCGAATTCCTCAGTGTTCTGTAAAGCACATGCATGACGACTCGCAGCGTCGTCGTGCACCAGGAGAACCAGACGAGGGCAATATTCCCGAATGATGTGTGCTGGAGAGTGATCAGTTCTCATATACCTCTGGAATGTGTGAGGAGTCAATAATACGGCCCGTAGGTGGCGGGGCGCTTTTCCTCTCGTGTAATGCGGAGACTTGCAGCTGCAGCTGCATAATTCTCTGGATTTCGGGTTGTTTACTTCGTCCTGACAGTAACTGCTGCTGCTGTGCGTTAGCCTTACTCATTGTCTGACCGGCCGCACGAACCTTACGCTTCGGGTATGCAACTAAAATTGGCTTGGTAGTTTGTGTATACGAATAATGGGTACTTACCAGTTTCCCCGCGGGCGTATGCGGATACGGGCACCCTACCCCTACCCTTACCAAGGAGTTGGGTTATGGCGGGAGTAGGGGCTTTGGGTAGGGTAACCGGTGGGTAATGCCTACCCAGGGTTTGACTAACCTTTTTCCATATAGCGTACCCCACCTGGACCGGCCTAGAAGTCAGGGAACCTACGCCAAGATTTGGTGCGTGGTAGGATTTTTTTTACGAACCAAATGCATTTCTATAAGCATGATTTATGTTCCTGATTCGGTCTTTTATGCGAAGTTCAGGTGACCGACCGATCAGGGTTTTTCCTAGCGAAATGTCGCACACGCCTTAGTCATGTCCTTCACAGCGATGACGAGGACCCTTGAGAGCTACCGAAAACGTGCACATTTATTTGCAGAGTTCAGTATACATGTAGAACGGACAACGCTCCACAGAGCAGGAGCATTTGCGGTTAACGGTAGCTTACGCGCTTTGCTGCTGGAGTTGAACAATCAAGTCTCATAAATGTCGTGATGTTACAACATCTCATCGGCATGACCGATGCAGCAGGATTCCGTTGATTTTTTTAATTACGTTGTCTTGAAAGGAAATTTGGACGCAAGGCAACGATGCCAGCGGAACATGACGGTGACGCAAGTAGCCAACGGAGCGGCAACAGTGGCGCAAGCGGAGTAAGCGAAACATCTTCACAGCGAGCAGACGCAAAGTTTTTAAAGAGGAGGTGGGACGTGCCCGTTTCGTGGCAATTGAATGGCTGCTGGTAAATGCTGATCAAGGCCCTGCCGAAACCAACAGGACGCGTGGAGTTCAAGATAAGAACGTAAAAGAAGCAGATGTACTTGGACAGAAACGAAATTTTCAGGATGGCGTTTTCGCTTGTAGGTGGTGTCGATGATCTATCTACGGCTGCTGACGCGGGAGTAGTCATACCAACCTTCCGTGACATTCAGATCGATATATTAGTCTGATGATTTATTGCGTGGCGCAGGTATGTATACGCTTGTTCGCCAGACGGCCCTGGCTCACTGGAAGTATGCATTCCTAAAGATCGTTCTCGAGTTCCTGGTGAGTGCCTATATCTAGTGCCGCTTACTTGGCGAAGGTTGTCGGGACAAGGGGGATTTCCTCTGGGTTGTGTTTTGCGCTAGGGGCTCCGTCCTGGCCCACCGCGTCCGGGCCGCAGCTTTAACCCAGGCTAGAAAGCATGTCGTACCGCCCTTGCCGGAACATGAAAGAAATCTTAGTGTTCAATCTTATTGTTAGGCCCACATTCAAATTGGTCATTGATGCGGAGGTGTTTACTCGGGCGCCTTGCCGTTGTTCCCCCCGGGCAGCATTGCGCTAGATAGAAAGCGCTTGAGCCGGCCGCCTTTTTCTTCATCCAACTTTCAAAATTTCCAGATGAATTTCGTCGTGGCATTCAACCCCACGTTTAAGACGTGGCGTATCGACACATCCAGCCCCCTGTGGCAAGTGGTCCGCTGGACGGTGTGGCGGTCGCCAATCATGCACCTGTACGGCTATAGAACATATAGTGAGTCGCCAGGAGTTGATTGCATGTACACGTTTGCGCAAAGATATCAATAACGGGCAACGATGTGCACTAACGGCCCGTTGGGTTGGGTTAGTGTTTGCCATGTTTTTGTTGGAAAAAGCAAGTAGCCAAAACAAACCGACAGCAGTAACGCGAATGTTTATAACGCGCACCATATTGCGTTCATCATGCCCTCATTTCACCTGGCAAATGGCAAATTATGAGTATGGCACGTCCCTGCAATTCCTGGCAATGCAGTAATCATCTTGTACGTCATGGCTGTTGCCGTACTCCTGTCAGTCCTTGGCCTAGCTTGGCTTACGTTGGTCATGCGTAAGCAGGAGCAGTCAAAGGTTTTAAGACTGGCAGCGCTCGGCCTCCACGTCGTGTATGATATCTTCTTCGTCATGTGCTACGTGGCCTTTTTTGGTGGGTATCTGCGTGTGCATGTGCACACAATACCAAGGTATGTGACGTGGCATCTGTGTTCACCATTGGCGTCAATGCATGCTAGACAGCGAGATTGACCGACCATATCGGCCGACAGGAGGATCGCCTATCTAAACCATTCCGTGCATTCGGTATGCGAAGTCTTCAGAGAGCAGCATGCAGAATCGATGTGACGTCAGTCAGCCCTATTCCACTAAAATAAAATGACCGAGCTGACGGTTCAATAAAGAGAGAGAACTCTTATTTGGTCTGGAATATGCATATCTTCCCAAGCAAAAGATAACTATTCCCACAGGTGCCCCAACTCTGCCGAGCAAACTCCAACATGTCGTCGATGCTTCCAAATCAAATTATTCCGCAGATTATTTCACGTTCGCTCTTGATTGCGACTTCTTTGGCACAAGAACCCACATGTATTTCCACGGCATTGGTAAGCACAGCTAGCTACGTAGCTACCGCCGCCTGCTGCATTATTGTTGTGGGCGAGTGCACCAGCAAGTGAACTTGTATGTTGACCCCGACATCATGTCCACCTGCATGCTAACTGCCATGTACCGGATTGCCAGGCGTCTGCACAGGTCGCTCAGGGTGGATGAACTGCATAGTGCTGAAGATCTATCATACTTTCCTCGCTCGCTGCTGCGCTTGCTGCGACGCTCTCCATTCGTCGGACCTGTGGAAGCAAGCACGCGCATGCTTGATGCATGCGTGCATCACACAAGCACCATGCAATTACTCCTGCTTGGCTGAATACCGCACGCAGAGTGTTTGAAGATGCCTCACCTGCTGCACATGCTGGTGGCGCTCTCGGGGGGGATATTGTTTCTCTTTGTCACTGCGCTGGTGGTGGTAGCATCGTGCGACTTGGACCCCGTGTCGCGTGCTGTCCTGGCCTCCCCGGCGGCTTATGCGCGCCTGAAGATCCTCTTCGCGAAGGCGGTTTTCATAACATTCGCCAACTGTCTTGACAGTAACACGAAGGTCCAGGTCATCGGCATGGTTGCGTCCGTCACTCTTATTGTATTCTGGAATTTGCGTGCGGTAAGCTGCTGCTTTCACCTTCGCAATGCATGCATGCAAGTAGGCTGCATTATGTTATGCCAGCTCACCAACCGGATACATCCTTGTGTCGTCCGTCCCTGTGAACGAATAGGTGACCACCGTAATTTATTGTTGTTTTCGGTCAGCTTGGCACGCAGCTGCTGGTCAGTTTTGACGACCATTATTGTTACTTCTCCATGTGCAAGTGAGATTGGACGTGTTTTCTGCTGGGATGGCGTCCCGTCCGCCACGTCCGCAGCTAGCGCTGCTGCGAGCGAACGCTATATTTATAATTGCCAAGTTTGATTTGCATGGTGCTATGCGCATCCCTTAACTGCCAGTTACAGAATGTTTTCTCCCCCATGCACGTAGCTGCCATTCTACTTCAACTTCACCAATGTGGTGTGGACTGGCCTGTGGTGCGGCATCCTTTACCCGTGCGTCATCTTGGTTGTTGTCACATTCGGCAAGGAGCACTCAGATGCGCACTACCGGGCAATGACGCAGGCGAGTTTGCTGTGTAGATTGGGGGTTCGCCGTTTGCTTATAATTGGGCGCCCGGATGAACCGAAAAGCATCTACCACGTCCTGCCACAAGGCTGCGCGCGGCGGTCTGCTGAGCGAAATGCAGCTGCACTGGACACGTCGTGATTAGCGGCAGATAGTCTTCCTTGCAGATGCGTCCGTAAGTGTGCGCCTACATTAATTTTGCGCACTGCGCCCTGAAGCCGAGTTAATGCAGCCATGCGTATTTTTAAGCTCAGTATCCCTGATCGGACGCGTTGACCTAGCTCTACTGGAAAAATGTGAAATATAGGTCTGTGGCTCTTCGTTTTATTACTAGTAACTTAATCTCGCTCCCGACTCTTACGTACCCATTTTGCACCTCCTGATAGATTGTCCTTTATGGCATGTTTCCTGCCGTCGCGGGTGGAATGGCGATTACCAGCATGTACGTATGGTGGGCGATGCGCCCGGCGCGTAAGTTTCGAAACCTTGAGTTGGGTATCAAGCTGTCCAAGGTCCACAAATTTGAGTCGGTGTACGAGGTGGAGCGGCTGGCTCGCGTGATGCGCAAGTTTGACACCGAAGGGCTGGTAGAGGAAGATGCGGCCGCACTGGGGGGAACCATCATCAAGGCCGGCCTGCAGACCTTCCCCAATGCGCCGCACCTCCTCATCCTGTAAGCGAAGCGAGCGGAAGGGAGAGCCCGGCCTTCTTGCCCTGCTCAGTAGCTTGCGGAGCAAGCCCATCGCACGATCAGGGGACGCGAGCCTACCTACGAACACGTGCATATGGTTTTAATTGCAAGACGCCGACCATTTTAATCACCTCACGTGGCTGGCGGTTTCTGTTTGATGAAATGCGGAGTTTGATTGCTCAATGCGGTGTGGCTTAGGCTTGCCCGGCCTCTTGCTGCGAGCTGCTTGGCTACCCTAAATAGAAGCGCCTAGAAAGAGTTCCCAAGAGTCACTCGAATTTTACGTGCGATGCACCAGACGATGATGCACCCTACGATGCACCACACATATCATCTATCTGGTACTCCACTGTGTTTTTGTTGTCCTCGGCGCTACTATACACACTCACCGGCCTACCTGCCCAGGTATGCTAACTACATGCTTGAGGTGCGCAAGGACGGCCCTTCCGCGAGGACACAGCTGCAGCTGGTCGGCAAGCAGATGCCGAACGTGGTGGAGCGGTACCAGGTAGGGCATTTGCTAACAGTATCATGTGAAATTTTGTTCATAACGGCGGCAATAAACACCGTTGCGTAAAAATAGCCTTTAATTCTGCCGCCAGGAGCAAAGGACGGCAGTCTCCGGAGCAAGTTATAATAATTATGCGGTAGCATACAGCTGCGCAGCCCGCAGCGCAGCAGGGCTATTGCGAAGTTTGGTGGTTCGGTTTGCAGGGTTTGCAGGTAGGGAGCGAGGTTCACCTCCTTCTACTAGCTATACAAGATAGAGACCGTCCATTCTACTTCACAACTAGGGTGTGACCTATAGACGATTAAACAGACAAGGCTACGTGCCTTCATTGTTCCGTCTAAGCCTCTGTACAGTGGTGCGATGTGAGCATAAAGCCACAGGTGTCCTCTAGCCACCTAATAGATCTCCTCGAACGGATGGAGCTTAGGACCTCGCGTTCTTTCGGTCGGAGATATCTGCTGCCTACCTTCCAGCTGCTTGCACGCAGTTTATAATAGCTGGCTGCTGAAAAGGCCTCCTGATGCACTCGCGCGTTGGACCCCTACATCTTTGCTCGTTGAACCCCTTCGCAGGTCTATCATTCCAAACAGCCTGCTTGATAGACCCTCCTGGTCCCTCGGCCAACAAAATGTGCTCATGTTAGAAGGAGCGAGCCTATCACAACCTCCAAACAGATGTTTTTGGGTCGACTACGGGCTTTGTGTGACACCTGACACTCCAAGCAGCTGTGCAGACGTGTTGAAGTAATCCCCGGTCCTCCGTTTCACGGATTAGAAACCGCTCTTAAACCGTATGCCACATTTCTCTTGTAGAACGTTTTCCAAAGTGTGGCTTTCCACCCACGGTTAGCCACCAACACGTCTCATGTCTACCTGGGAGTTTCCCTACCAGGCCGAGCGCCAGCATCATCTACCCTAGTGCTCACCAGTCAGCCGTCTAAGTGCTGACCCAGTTCGCAGCCCCGTCGAAACCCGGCAGCGACCGTTTATTCAAGGACCCCGACGTCGGAGTGTTCTCAGGTCTATCTAACGTGCTCACTCTGCCTGCAGCCTCCTGGCTGCTGCATTTATGGGCACTTATTACTCCCTGCTGAAATCCTCCTGCGCGCGAAAAGGGCGCCGTGCACGCCCTTGCACGTTAAGCATGTATATTCGGTGTTGCTGAATCTCGTACGCACTATGTATCGTGACGCGCGTACATAATTATTACGACGCACTTCCGGTGCAGGTTTTCTGCACCAATGAAGCCAGCAAGCGACTCAAGGACAGCCAAGAGGAGGGGATGGACCTGCAGGCGTACATGGAGTTCAAAAGGAACCTCAGGTAGTACTCTTCGAGTTACCCGTTGCTGTTATGCGCTAAGGTTGTAAAGCGGGAAATAGGTTCACAACAGGCAAGTGTCGTCATACCTGCGTGCATGGCTTGGCAAGCTAACACGGGCACTATGTGCTGCAAGTGCGGTATAGCACCTGCGTCTATGGAGGACGAAAGCTCACGCAGGATGCAGGGGACGACTTGATGGATGCAGGGGTCTAGCAGCAGAGATTGCAATTAGACAGTTGCACATAGATGCACAGTTACGCGCTTGCTGACTGTCGCTTCATGCTGTCTTTAACCAGGGCGGTGTTGCGCGTGCACAAAGACGTGTTGCTGCAGCAGAGCGAGCTGTGGCAGATGTGCATGCGGGACACGCTGCGGGTAGCACAGATCGATGAGGCCATGAGAGCTCTGGAGGCTGCGAGTACGAGGGCCGACCAAGTTTACAGGAGGTGTGTTTATCGCCCTCCCCTTCCTATCCTATAGCAAGTGTATCATTTTGGGACTGCTGGGAACCTAATTGGGACATGCGGCCCGGGGGACAAGGGAGTATGTACGGCAGGCGGGACACAGTATGGTGATGGGAGGTTGTACAGCTTTTCCTAAACGTGTCGCTTAGATTGACCATTGGAATATGAGCCCAGCAGAAGGGGCACTGTTGCCAAGCAGGCGTATAGAGAGTGCACCAGCCGGGCGCTCTGGGAGCCCAAGTTCACTGCATTAGGATATTTTAATGATTAAATGCTTGCTCGCTCGGCTCTCTGTCGACCCCCCTTGACAATGGCCCCTTCCAGGGTTTTGGAGCGCTATCCCACCAATGGCAAACTGTTGCGCTGCTACGGGAAGTTCCTGGAGGACGTGCGGCACGACCAGGTTGCTGCGGCGCGCGCCTATGCCGGGGCAAACCGTGTTGGATCCAGCAACGCGCTGCTCTCTCTGGACTTCGGCGGCACTGTGCATTGCGGCCAGGACAGACGCAAACCCGACTTTCTGACGTCCATGTCATTGGAGGATGACGCAGTGGTGGTGATTGACGCGGAGGGCACCATCATGATGGTCAGCCAGGTGCGGTCTATGCATGCGTGGCGCTGTGCTTACTTGATGGTGTGCTGGCCCTGCGGCGCAGTCTTTGTGAATTGGAAAGATAAGAGGCATATTGCGCCAGCAAATTGTTAGAGCGGGTCGCATACCTTTTGACTTTCCGTAGCCAGCATGCCTGAAATCTCATTGCTTGCGTAGCACATCTTTAGCAACCCGTGGCGTTAGGTGGGGTGGTGTAGCAGCTGACCGCTGAAAAGGTCTCTCGAGTTGCTGGCGGTCGCACTCTGTGCGTATTTATAGCACCGTACTGTGTACCGGCTGCTACATTCCCCCCCCTTTGAAGGGAACCGTCCCGGGCCCTTAGAGCCTCGTATACCGCCAGCCTGTGCCTACCTTCGCCTACCCTCGGGCAGTGGGTACTTACTCCACGTCACGTCATGTGCCGGCTCACATGCGCCTAGCCGTCTTCAGGTTTTTCAGGCACAGAGACAGTCCAGTCGGTTCAGCTACTTTTATAATTTGTGCGATATTCGCTCTCTGAGTCGCCAGACCCGATTTCCACTCAAGCGTGATTGGTGGGGTTTGAACCGACGACTTCAGGATCGTGAATTTTCACGAGGTCTCGATACCAAATGTAGCAGCTGACCGCTGAAAAGGTCTCTCGAGTTGCTGGTGGTCGCACTCTGTGCGTATGTATAGCACCGTACTGTGTACCGGCTGCTACAGGTGGACTATGACAAGGCAGTCGTCCTCTTGGCGTAGTAATGGCCGCACGTACCTGATGCTTTCCTTTCTAAATGAGTTACAGGCGGTCCAGAGGGTTTTTGGCTACTCCAAAGTGGAGTTGGAAGGGGCCAATGTGAGCCTGCTGATGCCGCAGCCGTTCAGCCAGCGCCACGCGGGCTACGTACAGCGGTGCACCAGTACGGGCGAGCCGCATATCCTGGATACTGTCCGTGAGATGGTGGCGCTGCACAAGGTGAATCCATCTGGCCCGTCTGCTGGCAGCGTCTGCCAGTATTTCCTCTAGCACCGCTTCACTGTTCGTCTACCTGCTGAGTAGGCGCGCGTGTTCATGTGCGAATGGATAGTGCAAATAAATTGGCATGGCGGGAGTTTGCGCACCAAGCTGTTGGCACTTTTGTGTGTGGCGACCCATGTACGACCACTGTACGCCGGTAAGAGTTAGTGACGGGACGTGCGCTTTGCATGCTCGCAGGATCGCTACGTCTTTCCAACCTCATTGTGCGTCACTAGGCTGAGTGGTGTCGGTTCTGACAGGTGCGTATCCAAGGTTCCGGTTTTTAGCACGGGTTAACAGTGCCTGTTATGTTGCTTTATGGAACGGGCTCGACTGGATGTTCGGGGCGGTCAGGATGTGAGCTGGAAGGTATGGTTGGGCATTCCGCGTGATAGGACCCGGGTAAAAGGCAATAGCCATGCTGTCTCGCGGGAACGTCGCATATAGCACACCTTCCTTCGTTCAGGCCCAATTGGGAAGTTTCGTTCCGCAACCCTTTTGCCTCTCTGCTTTCTTGAGTTCAATCGACGACCTTGCAAATGCAAGCAAGCCTCAGACTTGCAATTGTTTTAACCTGTTGAATGTATTGATGCGATCCCTCTATCTTGTCCCATGTAATTTGGCCTGCGAGCAGCATCTTCCTAGGTGTTATCCGGCCCCTGCCGGCGAGCTTGCTGAACATGAGGGCCTGGATTTCTCCAAACGGCGTCTTCCTGTGCGCCGACCAGCAGTTTTCTTCGGCCATCGGCATGGTTGAGGGAGACGTGGTGGGTTCCCTGTCGTTTCCTGCACCAACAAGCCTTGGATTTCACCACTGTGTTTCGCTTATTAGCTCCGCCAAAACACATCGCACACTAGATCAGCCTATGTAGACAACCCAACGAAGTTATGAACAATTTCCTGTTGTCTGCAACGTGGGTTCTCATCGTTGCAAGGCCGCGGGTCTGATGACATGATGCGTGTATGTAAACCCTGTTGTTGTTCCGCAGGTGGGACATACAGTGGCGACATTCGTTGTGGAGCCCCAGGCCGTCACGGCGCTTCTAGCCCGCTGCCAGGCCGCTACCGCACAGGAGCTCGAGTCTGGTGATATCACGACGGAGCTGATCTTTCACCACCGATTCCTAGAACCTGTGTTGTTCCGCGTGGAGGTTCGCATGGCGGGTACGTCCATTGCTTTAGCAACGCATGGCCGACGTCCTAGCTTGCTGTCACACAGTCGCAGAAATGGTCAGCGTTGCAGAAGGTACCAATAGTAAGTTAAGCTGATCTGCCTCTCGAAAGCTTTCTGCGTACTGCGGGCTTACGCATTGAAATGCGACCTTAACTGTTAAAAAGAAAATGGACTCGAGGTCTGGCTGGCACTTGTGTTGCGCCATGCAGGTGAACGACTGTGATGGTAAATAGGACGATTGACGTTTGTATACTCGCACTGGAATATGACCGCACCTGCATGACGTGTCGCGTGCAGGCAGCGACGCTCAGCGCATCCTGGTTCTTCACTGCCGACGCACTGATGGGCTGGACGGCAGCATGCTGGCTGTGGACACGCACATGCGAGTCAAGTTTGCGTCGTGCGAGGTGGCGCTGCTGCTGGGCTACTCGATGCGCAAGCTGGCCTCCATGAGGCTGGACCAGCTGCTACCGCCGCCGTACAACGCCCTCCACGCGAAATGGCTGAGGGTAGGTTCGCGCAGCGCGAGGGCATGAGTGAATGGATGACTCCTCTCCTTTCCAGGAAAGTTCTGTCTTGGCGCGTATTCAAGTTGCCGCTCGTTCACGCGTATGTTGTATAGGGACCCCTTCCTCGACTGTTGTTTATTTCGCGGGTTGCATCTGTTGCATTCCATGCGCTGCTACACTTTGCAGAAGCTACATACGTACATGTTCTTGTGCTATTGTAAACCTGGTGACGTGATCTCGCTACACTGTTATTCCTACGGCGTTTACCATCAATGCAAGCGTGTGTATATGTACCGCGTCTTCATACAGGACTGTCCACACACTTCTCGACCGGGTAGTTGCCGTACAGGGGCTGTGGTGCACCTTTTATCTGAGGCAGGTGTACATGTACCTGTGCGGCTCGAGATACGTACTGCGGAATCCGACAGTGGGGGGCCATCTGGCGGTGTCCCTCTTTACATCGTCAAGGTGAGCAATCAACGCCTGTACACATGCACGCACATAGGCACGCAGTTACGGTTTCGGAGTTTGGAATCTGTTCAGCAGAAGGCACGCGCATCAGGGTTTATTTGCCGCCATTTCGCGTGTGTCGCGCAGCTGCGCGGCCGGAGCCGGGCTGGGAATGCGTGCAGTAAGCCTGGGTACCAAGATATTGGAAACATCCTACCCTCTTCCCAAGATGTCCTTTCTTCTGATGCGAGATGATGATCACTTCTATCCTAAACTCTCCTCCGTCGTGTTTAAGGTAAAGAAGGTTACACAAGATGAGATGGTTCGTGAAAAGCGGCTGGTGCTAACTGTGGACTTCACCGGCAAGGTGATGATGGTGTCCCCACTGGAATCCGCTGTGTTCGAGTTTCCGGCGCTGGCACTGGTGGGTACCAACCTGGCGGAGTCGATCGACATTTTCGCCGATTGGCACCGACGCAGCGGGGAGACCCAGATGCAAATGATACTGCTGGCGCTGCTGGGAAAGGAGCAGGAAATGCCGGGTAGGCTAAGAGCGTATGGCGTTCGTGCACCTCCGTTTCCTCCGTTGGCAATAATCATTCGTTTGTCAGAATGAGTGCGTGAATCCGATCCTGCCGGGTCTCCCTACTGGCTGCGGAAAGGTGCTTCGTACCGATCAGTACATCAAGGAAGGTAGGAGGAAAAGAAATTAAAAGAAAAGATGGCCACTACTGGGACCTAACGTAGTCGAGACGTAGGAAAAGCAGGCTCCATATGCGGCGTACCTCGGCAGATTTCGCAATAACGAACCAAATTTCCTGAAGTGTTGGCATGCATATTTTATGTATGAATGCATGTAGGTACCTCCTGGCGGGTACGGGTACGTGAGCCGGTGGTCGAGGGAGACGCGCGGCTGCCGTCGGCCATTGGCGCCATGGGCAACGAGCCACGGCGGATATCCCGATCCGCGTGCCTCCAGGTGCACGTTTGATCATAGCATACTGGCTATGCGGTGTCACGCTCGTGCGAAACGGGCAGAGCGGCCCACGTGGCGCTCATTTGGCGTGTGGCGTTTTGACATGACTAATTTGTCTGCTGGCTAAGCAAACGGCATATGCCCATTCCAGCGTGCCGTGCGTCTAGACATCACAATTCCCTAGCTGCCTTGCCTGTTGGCGCATAGGCTTGCGTTGAAAGGTCTTTTGTTATTTCCCACCTGCATGTGTACCGACTGTTTTGGCTTACTTGGACTTCAGGTCGAGCTGGACGAGGAAGCCGAAGGTGGCGGGGCCGAGGTGAACGGCGAATCGGGCGTCCGAATCCAGGTGACCCTGTGGCGGCGCGATTTGCTGAGCGGGGTGCTTGAACTGGACGACGAATTGATCATCCGGCGTGCGAGTCCACTCGCGGGCCTGATCACAGGGTTGCCGACGTTCGCGATGCTACGCAGGCCGCTAAGCCAGTAAGTGTGCTGCTGCTAATATGTTTCATGTTTGGATTGATGGGTATCTGTAGGCCTGGAATTCGTGCTGCGTTTGTGTGGCTGGTGAACACCTGTGCCTTTCTAGAGTATGCTTTATGTAGGGGAGGAAGCATTGCGATACACTAGTCGGCTTCCCTGCGCTCCATGATAGACTCAACGATACCGCTTTGTGCTTCTCCATGCTAGCTGGAGCTAGCTGGCTAGCCTGTCGACACCAGACTTTATCCCAATAAACATACACTTCATCCCAATAACAATCGCAACATCACGCCGTGCGTATCCACCACATGACTGCTGCTTACCACGTCTGCCTTTGCGTGACAGGTTTTTGAACATTCCGCACTCCGCGTCCTGGGATAAGCTGGTGGCTGCCACACGTCAGCCGGGTCATGGTCACCACAAAAAGAGCGCGCTGAAGGCCACCACCGACCGCGGCAGCATCAGTCCCGTGATGGCCTTCATCGGGCCGCATCCGGACTCGGGTACTATGCGGCTGATGGTGCAAGGAGTGCGAACCCTTGGGCCTGGGGCAAGGCCAAAAGTCACGCTCACCATGCACCCCGACACCACCTTCGCGGGCGCGCACGCCAACCTCATGCGTGTACTGAGGCTCGAGGACAGCTGTAATGGCGGTGCCGGCAGCTACACAAGCTCTGCTCTCCATGTAGACGACGACGTGTTGTCGCGTGTTAGCGGGCAGGCCCGGTCTACTTCAGCAATTCCACCTGCACTGCGATCGCGGAGCTTCGGCGTCTTGACAAGTGCGTCGCAGCCGCCTCTCAAGCCGCGGTTAGCGCTGACAGGTGGCGAGGATGGCCACAACACGGAACACATATGCAGCCGTCAGGAGATGGGTGGAGCCGTCGAGGGGGAGGGCCGCTCGGAGTTCGACGAGAAAATGGAATCCAGCGGCGATGACGATGAACTTGGCGGCGGGGTGGACGACGAGAACGACGGCAGCAGCTCCGGCGGGCTCATGGCGCAGGCGACCTGTATTCATCGCCAGGCCACGTCCAAGTCAGAGTTCGTGATGCAGTGGGTGCGATCTATTACACACCAAGGGAGTGGGCAGTTAGAAGTGCAGGCGCAACGGCAACGTCGAAAGCGAAGCCAGAACCTGCAGGCGGCGGACAGGGGAGCTGCAGCAGCGTCTTCTTCTGCCGCTGTGGCAGTCTCACGTGAGGAGAGCAGTCTTTTGGCTCTGCCATTACTGGCGTCGCAAGCAATGGTGCCGAGAGCTACGAGTCGTCTGCCTTCGGCGCCAGAGGCGCCTTTGGCCCTTGGTGCGGAGTGCAGGTTGAGTGGCGCCAATGATGATAACCTAATCGCCATACCCCAGCTGCGGGGAAGCCCATCCGGCCTGCTGGACGTGCAGGAGCGGCAGCATCGCGCAGTCAACCGGGTGCTCAGTTTTGCGGTCACGGGTCCTTTGCCGGCTGGCGGGGGTGCGTGTTTACAGGAAGCGCGGAGTGGCGCGGAGGCGAAAATCGTGACGGTGGTGAACAAGGGCCGCCAGGAAAACGAGGAAGAGGAGGCTGCAAAGAGCGACAAGGGAAGTACCGCGGACGGTTCGAGTGTGGATGATGGAAGCCAGGTGGCAAGCGCTGTTTCAGGTGGGTCACGGATGGTGCCACCTGTGGGCGCTGCGTACCTGCACTGTGTAAACTTGCCTGGATTGTATCATTCAGCTCAGGCGAAGGAAGACGTGTGTGTGTCTGTGTGTCTAGGTTCATGGACTGGGGTTTGTGGGTGCCGTGTTGATGAATTAAGGTTGTCCAAGCCTACGTTTCTTTCGCAGGACAATCCGTGGCATATTATCGCCGTAGTGCGGTTGTTTCCTCCCTTGCAGTCGCCCGTTGTCAACATTTCGAAGCATATTCAGCACAATAGGTGGGAGATGCTTGGAAAGCATGCTGTCCTGGTCCTGACTTTCTGTCACGCCGTGTGCTTGCCTGTCTGCATGTTACATTGTATGTGGCTGCAGGTACGACAGATGCCACTTCGGTGTCCGAGGTGGTAATTGACGCCCGGCGAGGCCGGCTGCTCAAGGCCCTGAATAAGGTGATGCTGGGGCCAGCCCTCATGGCGCATATTGACCGCCTGAAGCTGCGCAGCTACATCCTCATTATCATCATGTTCGTGGCGCACCTATTCGGTTACGTCACAATATCCATGGAGATCCGGAAGCAGTACACGTGAGTATTAGGCCGAATTGTTGACTCTGCCTAAGTAGCTTTGCTAAGTTTAGGACCGTTGGCTTATCGGGTTGTCTTTCGGGTTTGACCTTTCTAGACTTTAATAAGCATGTTTTTAGGGCGGAGCCCATGAAGTAAGCCTAGTTTCCTTGAGGGATATCGCTTAATTTTTAAGAGTATTAGAGATGCGGCGCTTTTTTTACTTTTTAAATGATTTTTTGAAAAACATTTTTTTATATAGAATGTAGTGTGATGCAATTTTAAGTGTCTTAAAAATTACAGAAGGTAGCTGCGTTCGTTGTACAGGTAAAATTGCTGAAATTCCAGTAGGTGAAGCATATTTAGGTCGTGTTGTTGATGCTTTAGCGCGTCCAGTAGATGGTAAAGGTGCTATGCTATTTGTTTCACACAAAATAAATTGACTTTTTAAACAAAAATGTAGTAAGTATGTATAAAAATAACTAACATGTTACACAATTTACACAAAAATAGCTAAAAAGATAGGCTCCGCCATAACGAAGTTATAGTGCGTAGCGAATAGCCTGTTCTTCAACCCTCTCATTGATTTACGCGGTGGACGCACGTCAGTTGCCTGCTTTGATCGCTGGGTGTGTGTGGTTGTTACAGTGGGCTCCAGACTCCCGAAGAGTAGAGCCATCGGGCCAGCTGGCCGTGCACTGCAGTAGAGACTAATATACCAAAAGACCGCTGGGTGGTCGACGGTTACTAAGGTGGCGGTAACGCAGGGCGCTGTCCTGCGTTAACCGGGTACAACTGACACCCAGGAGTTACACTTCATCAGCAGTGGTTCGAACCGAACGGACAACAATGCGTTGTTACTGCGTGTGGTACGATGCGTGCTCGCCTTCGTTTTAAAACCGCTTTGCCTATTCTATGCTTGCACGAAGCCATGCGTACCTGCAGGAGGATTATAGCCAGTAATTGCAGAACTTAGCGCTGTGCCGACCCTGCAGGGGCATATACGCGGTGCACGGCCAGGCTCTGGCGATGGATCGGTAAGTGATAGGATTGATAGCATATGCGTCGCCGCCAATCGCACCATCCCATTGGACTTCTTGTTTCTCTTACGCGGGCAGAAATACGTGCAGAAATCGGTTCCTTTTTTGACACTGGTCGTGCCGCCAATAATGACCGCAGTCGTGTTGTGTACTGCTGGTAATTGTATTGCAGGTCGCAGCTGATCGTGGTGCGCACTGTCCTGGGCACCTTTTGCGAACGCGCCAACGTTACGGAGAGAGTGGCGGGATGCGCGTACTCCCTCCAAACGTCCCTCAACAAGCTTCAGACAAATGCGCTGCTGATGGAGCAATACCACCGTGAGCTTTCCAAGGGCGTTAGCAAACCGCAAATGGAAAGAGGCTGGGGTTGCGCCGCTTGCACCTGAGCTTTTGGTACTTCTGTCGTATGTACACGTTCAGTCTCAAGCTTTCTAATGGCTCATTAGGATACGCCCGCGATGCGGCTTCCTATTGCAGAAGGCGTCTACTTGGGCTTTGATGGGAAAAAAACATCGGAGCCGGAATGGAACGTGTACAACATCTGGACTCGGCCGCTCGTAGATTACCAAGGTGTGCAGGGACATCGGGGGCCTCTGCGACATCTGCACGGTGCACTTGAATTTAGCTGTTGAATCTAGCAGCGAGCAGCTGTGGCCAATCCTTGTATGTGAAGAGAAGGCATCTGCTGCCGTACTTTATTTAGCCGCCCTTGTATATGTTGGTCCTTTTGCTTTCAGTGTTCCTGGATACGACACCGCCACAAACCGTCACGAGCCGGGCGGGTGCTTGGCAGCTGGGCAACCGGTTCATCGCGGCAGCGCGGGAGGCCGTGTATTGGATGGCGATCTATAAAGAGAACTTCAAGTACGGCACTGCCTTTTCCTTTCTTGTGGTGCTGGTTCACTTACTAGCAATCACGGCGTCTATGTTTGCAAGTAGGGGAATGAGCCGTAGAAGTATGCGGGCCGATTGGGTAAGCATGGTAGTATCATAGCCAAAGCAGGCCACGGCGTTACTGAACCGCACGCGTGTAGTTACGCTGTGGCCGTAACTAAATGTAAGCATTACATACGTTCCATAGCGCTAGCGGCACTACTGACCCCGTCCTGTTTCACCTGCAGGTTCCACCGTATCCACTCCTTCATCCAGTCGAACGGCCTGGGGTCGCTCTTCGGGGTCTATGCCAGCAGCTTGGACTATCTGGTGGCGGCGGCATGGAAGGGCGTCCTAGGGCTGCGGAAGGGTGCGTATGTATCTCCCGCGGCTGGCTCTTGTTCTTGGTCACAAGTCGACGCAGTCGGCAGTTTCAACACAGCGGGCCTCCTATGCGTGTTGCGGTCCTTCACAGCCAGGGCTTTGCTAACTATCCCTCATCCAGAAAACACAGTCAAGCGTGTCGTCCCTGTCATTATGATCGTTGCCTGTGCCTGTTGACGGCGCACGACCCGCTGCTGCACCACACCGCAATGCAGACATGCTGATCTTCCTGGCGGTTGAGGGACTGTTTATCCAAATCTGCTGCGCGTTGTACGAGTTGTTCCTGGTGCACCGGCTGGAGGCGGCTCGAGTGCTGGGCGTGCTGGCGATTGTGGGACTTCCGAAGCCCGTGCTGCGCAGGCTGGCGGCTATCGATACCAAGGTTGGTGAGCTTGGCTACGCGTATTTCGTGCTCCCGCAAGTCTACATGCGCGAGGGGGTATTGGCGTGATTTGAGTTGTGCACCACCGCGCTCGGCTGTTTGGGATCTCGATCGTCCGTGGACGCACGCCTGGGTTGCACACTTGCCTAAGCAGGTGGCGGACAGACGGATGCTGCGGGAGGACGTGAATCCGTCCTTTTTCCCAGAGCCGAAAACCCCCGACGTATTCCTTAACAAAGGAATGTATTAAAAACACTGGTACCACTGCCTGCATGCAGACGTGCTGCTTAACGGGGGGCTTATGCCAACAAGCACTGCGTAGTTATGCAGTGCTCGAGGTGTGTTGCTTTGCGTGCATACGCCTGCATACCCTTCCATACTGTATGGAAGGGTCCACATTACGAGCTGCCGGAAGGAATCTAGGATTGGTGCCAGACATGGTTGCTGCTCCTCTTTCCTGTGTTGTGCGCATGCGAAGATAATTCATGACAGCGACGATGAGACTGAAGATGAAGGCAGCATCGCGGGATCAGATGACAATGCGCGAGCAGTCGGAGGCGGCTCTGCCAAGCAGTCCCAACCGATGGGCGCAGCCATGTCTATGGCCAGCACCGCCGCTGTTCCTCCTGTCACGGCTGCAGCTGCGGAGGTCGTTCCCATAGCGTGTAATGGAGGACAAGATTGTACCGGTACCTGCGGCGACCCGCTGCCGGCGGAGGCGCGCAACGGAAAGGCAAGTTCAGAGCAGAAGCGCCAAGGGGAAACTAGCATACACACACAAGACTTGACGCTTATTGAAAAGGAGTGCTTGTACATTTAAGGAAAATGGCTTCTCCTGTTTTAGTTATGGACAGAAGGCTGCGTTTCATGTACTGGAAAACAGCACCTGCGGTCGCGGCAAAAGCTGAAATGTTGAGCGGAGTTGAAGTCGGAACAAATCTGTGCGTTTTTGGGGTTTGCACTCTGGATCTTCAGGAACGTGGGATTGGGGGTCGCACCCTGCGCGTCATGCGCCTTCGCATGTCCCGCAAGGGCTCGCGGGGCAGCGAAGATCAGTCCACCAGCTACGGGTCCAAGCGCCTTTGTGTCAACGGCAAATCGCTGCTGCCGTCGTACAGTAACGTCACGAAGTTCATGGTGGGTGCGAACGGCCGGTCGCAATAACCGCTAGTTTGCGGTGTTATGGCTAAGAGAGGGAGAGAAATGATAAAAAAAATCCCTATCATCTCTGCATATTTTCATATATGGTGTATTCTGCATGCGTAGTCCGAGGAATGTCATTGGGTGCGTTATCTGTGTGTCAATGGGTGATTGCTGCTGGATGGTGGACTCGTGCTGCATTCTCTTTCAGGTGCCCTTTATGATATGGAGCATTGCCGTTATCGTGGTGTACACGGTCACACTGGTGGAGCTGAACAAGATGCAATCGCCGCTGGCTTCCCTCAACCTGGCCTCGCGCATCGTTTATCGCTACACCCGTCTGCGCGCCATCGGGGCGGTGTTCGTCAGCCAGGACGACAGCGGCAGCAAGGACGTCTGGCGGCCGCTGCTGTCCTCGGAGCTGGACACTTTGGAAAGCGAGTACAGCGCCCTCATGTATGGTGGCGTTCCTTCTTCCATGGTAAGGCCGGTTGAGAGTATTTGTTGACGAGCTGTCGCCACAATGGTAGCATGGGCTTGCTGCTAGTAGCAAGCGATGTTGCAGTATGGGTTGTAAATTCACCCTCTTCATCCCGAGCGGACTTCGTCCTGTATAATGCGGTTTGACACCACGAGACGATGTTGGGACCCGCCCAGAGCCTGATCTGCTCTTTTTTGATAGTACTTGCTGAGATTGTTTCCGCGAAAAGGATGGGCTTACATCCTAACCTAACCTAATCTAACCTAACCTATCTAGCTAACCACTTGGAGACGGCAGCAATGGCCCCCGAGGAGTGGTAAGAGTTATTGAATTACTCTACCGCGCCTTGCTATTTAAACTGCGCCTACATCATCGCTGGTTGGGCTGTGTATGCGATGCGCAGGTTTGGTGGCTATTGGTTTGTCTATCAAACGTCGTAGCCGAACAATTTATGCCACATAGTGTGTAACGATGTCTTGCGGCAAGCCGCATGTTCACACATGCGTTTGTTGCCAAGCACGATCGTCGCAGTGGCCTTGTTCCCGCCTCACCGCCGTGGCTCCCTTATCCTAGCGATTCGGTGGCGTTTACTGCCCTTGGACTATTTCCCAAACAGGCGAACAGCACGTTCCGACGCTATGTGCCGGCCGCAACCTTTGCGTCGGCTTCTTTTGCGCGACTTTTCTTCCAGAGCAAGGGCTGTTTCCGCATTAAACAGGAAACCTGCTTCACCCCGGGAAATGAGTACTACGAGGTTCGTAATGGCTGGCAAAGGGTGATTATTGCGTTCCGCACAATTTGCGTGCATTCGTCCAAACGAGGATGGGTGGTCTTTGAAACCGTTTCAAGGACGTAAGATTACTGAAAGCGCCCTGGCAAGTCCTGTAAAGGATGTGTGAAAGCACTAGCATCTTGTTATTTACGGCACACAATGGATTGACCACGCATACCGCATCTGTTACTGAAGGGACTGAGGCTGTTCCTGCACATAATCTCTTGATTACTGGGCTGTTGGATCGCCACACTCGGTTTAGAGCTAGAGGCACTTCCTAACGTGCAGTAACGAAGAAACATTGCCATTCCGCATGCATACGCAGATTACCCACAACGGGCTGGACGCCATGGTACGGCGGCTGGTGTATGAATTGAGGCTGTTGTCGCTGGACGACGACGCGGACGTGACGTACAACAACTCGAGGTTAGTTGTGGCCTGCGGCGGTTGCGGCTGCATCTGAAATCCCCGAGCTTTCGATTGGGTCCAGTGGACTCGATAGTGGTCAAGTTGCGTTCCCTATCGTCACGGCTCGTTTGTGTCGCGACACATCCGCCATCAAGCCATCAGCGGGCATTTCACGGTCTGCGAGGAACGGGTTAGGCTGAAATCGGCCACTCACCCTCCATGGGGAGCTTCAGTGGAACATAAGACGAGAAGAAACCGTCTCGTCGCCTGCCCTTTGTATCTAAAGCAACAAAACGCAACTAACTGTCAGCCACCGCTTTGGTACAGTTGGTGCTGCACATGTTCTTGGGCGTCTGAGTGCGCTAAAGGCGAATATGGAGACTCCCACTTGAAGGATGCACAAGATACTGAAGTTGCGAGGTGGAACGAAAAGCTCCAGGCATTCGTGTTGGCTTCTAGCTGTAATGCGACTATGTGCTTACTACCCTACTGCAAAACCCTAACGCGCAAGGTGTCGTGCCCATTTTGTATTCGCTGGTTGCAGGTATGCTTACACATCTATCGTAGGTGAGGCACTTTGTCACTGGGCGTTTTTGCGGTGGATGGTTGCAACCGCAGTGCGCCTCAGGCTGCTGTGCAGCTCCAGCTGCACGCAGTAATCTTTAATGTCTGGATCAGCCTATTGGCGATCCTGCAGGATCGTGTTAGGCTCCTCATCATCCGAAATTGCCCTAATGCTATGCGCTTCAGGTGCCAACGACCTTTACGAAGGATTGCAGCAAGCGGCGCAGCTGTTCGTCGATTACTCCATTACGCACTATACCAATATTCTCAAAACGCACACGGCAAGTGCGGGCTTGACCCTTTTTAAGGGAAACGTGCGAAGGGATATAGGTACCGTGAGAGGGGAATTTTAGAGAGCCACGCCGTAGAGAATCGGTCCGAATGTATTTTGTGTGCTTGCCTGGAATGAGGGTGGGCAGGATAACACGAAAGTGTGTGCTCATGTGCGTCGAAGGCACATGAAGACAGGTAGGCACGCCCTCATGTACATGGCATGTGTCCTAACGCAACCACCCTTGCAGTTTTCCTCTGCCTGCTACTTTGAATGTGTGCGGAAATGCACCAAAACGGGTTGGTCCCCTGCACCTAACTACCTGCTGACCGGCCTGCCTGTAGATCCTTCTGGTCGTCTCCGTTGGGCTCATGCTCGCCTACTTCGTATTCCTGCTCTGGCCGCACATTGCGCGCACGGCACGGGACGCTGCAAGGCAAAGCGCACTGCTGAGCCTAGTCCCACCTGAGATGGACGTTCGGGCACATGTACGGATGGTCTTCAAGCGCGGCATCGCCCGCAAAAAGGCTGGCAACAGGGCAGGGAGTTCCAACAAGGGGCCGGGCTAGCCCGAGCAGGTCAAACCCCAGCTGATACACAGGTGGAATGCGTGCGTATGTGTTTGGGAGGATCCGGCGGGGATCCGGAACACGGCTTGGAATTAATTTTTGATCGATGCGCGGAGCGTGTCGTTGCTAGTATTGTGAATTGTAACCAGGACTTTGTGAAGTGTCACGAATGCGAAGGACTTTTATACTCGTGCATAAGGGACTGCCATGTGGCTTATTAAGCAAACCTATTCATCGTGTATATACAGGATCTTGGCTTCGGATGCTTTGTATGCGAATCACGCATAGATCCTGATTCCGATGCGTGATTTGCATCAAATCGTATTGCTTCATTATGCCCTGGTGTCCTGGCCCATACATTTGCGTCAGAATAGATTGCAACAGGAAGGCCTAATAAGGCTGTTGCATTTTTATATAAGGCTGTTGCATTTTTACATAGTTGGGACGTACATACGTAATTGCGCTGGATGGTCGTCCCGACATGGGTACGATGTACTACTAAATGTGTGTACATGGGAAGAGTGGGGCAGAGGGGTTTCGCGCGAACGGCAGTCTCCAACAGGGTCCTAGATTCTAGCTTAAGAAGCCCGTTATTTATGTTGATTAAATTGGTTGGCACGTGCAATATGTGCCCAGCTCTGCACCCATCGGTCCTGGTCATTTGAGGCAAGTGTTTATAAAATGCCGTGTACCCTGGTGGGGTTTCGGGGGCGTGTGAGCCGGAGGGCCCCGGCAGGCGGTATGGCAGGTGCTGTTTGTTCTGTTCCGTTGGGAACAGGTTTTGCTTGGCTGCTTTGCTTGTGTTAGCGGAGCGGACAGGACCAGGACGCAAGAAAGAACTTCGAGTATATTTACTGTCATGGGCCGTCTCACCCAGGTTTGATGAGGTCTCACCGTTTCATTTATATTTTTTAACCCGGCATGACGGGTTTCGGTGGCTTAATAGTGGTTTTTGTTATTCCTGAAGCAGCGCTTCGACATCGTCCGTTTTCCTTCTTTATCGCCTTCGTGGTTAACATCGTTTTCGGCAGTTTGACTTGTTTGTCCTGTCCCGAGAGGTTGCTGCTACTGCTTTTCTCTCCCATTTTACCCATCTTACTTTTTAGTGGAGTTCCGGTGCTGTTCCCTGTCCGTGTAAGCTTTGCGTTTCGGGCGATTTTGGGGGGGTGTCTTGGTTCGTAGTCGTTAGGGCCTTTATCCCGTTTCCTTGGTCATATACTTCTCCTGTAACCCCCCTCGCGAAGGAAAAAATCCCGCTAAATGTCAGCTGACTCCTATTAGGTGCTGCCTCGCGCCGCAGCCTTTAGAGCCATGCAGGAGGATGGGAAATCAATAGTTGTTGCTTAACATGGCAACTAAGGCCCGGGACGTCGAGTGGGGTGCATCTGCTCTATAGACCAATGGGTTAACTTTATGAAACTGTAATGCGGATTCAGCGAAAATGTGGAATTACAGAAAAATGAAATTGCGGTAAGAGATGTTCAAACTGCTGGGGAGACAGGACCTGTGAACTTTCATGCCTAAAAGACAGCTCCTCGCTGCACACGCACACGGTGGCATAAACATGCTAGCGACAGTAGATTGTAAACCCTACCTGTTTCTGGCATTTCTTGCCTTAAGAACCTCCCAAACGCCGTCGTATTCCGCTTGCCCTCCCCCAGTCACATGCCGTTTCTAAAAGAATAGTCAAGCTTATTTGCGCTGCCACGATCATGCAACCGCGTTGGGTTGGATGGCAACTGGACGCAGGTGTGAACAGGCGCGATGGGCGCATGCACCACTCATGTAGCACGCAGGCATGGCAAAAGGATAGTTTGTAAGTTTCGCGCACGCCACATCAAGTCTTCCAAAAGTCTTCGGCATGCGGGTTATGCACCCGCCGCCCACTAATGCACCCTTAGATTTCACCCGGAAAAAGGTTCAAGAAAGGTAGCGTTTGATCCATTAGCGTTTGATCTCATGCCCGGCCCCCGGTGGCAGTCTTAGACGGATGCCGCCGTGACTCCCCGGCGGCTCCGTCATGGCGGCCCTGAGCGCCCACACGAGGGGGCGATGCGGACACGGCAGCGGCGGCCGATGCGCCGCTGGGCTGCGGGCCCGATGGTGGCGGGCCCATGCGAGTCCTCCCAGCGCGTCCTCCCGGCGGCGTGGGGCTGCGAGTCGTGGTGCCACCGGCAGGTGCATCTACCGCTGGAGATGCTGGCACTGGGGCCCCACGGTATGAGGTCCCCTGGATTCCAGATCCCAGCGCTGCCGCGCCGACATTGGCATCTCCTTGTTGCTGCCGCTGCTGGTTGGGTGGCCTGGGAATGCCTCTTGCCCGTTGCTCCGGTCCCGGGCTAACAGACGTTTGGCGGGCTCCGGGCCCGGCTTGCGGCTGCTGCTGTTGCTGGCTGTGCTCGCGTGCCCCAACCTTGGGCCCAGAAGGACGCGGTGCAGCGGTGTTTGCCCCTGCGGGTGCGCCGGACCGACGGCTGCTGACGGGAACCCCGCTGGAGGCAGATGCTGCTGCCGCACCCTCCAGGATCCGGGCTGGGCTCTGCCTAGCTCGGCCGCTGCTGCTGCTCCTGCTGCTAGGCGCTGGAAGTGAAGCACCAGCCGGTTCAATAGCACTACTGCGCGGCAGGTGCGGTTGCCCAGTAGGGGCGTCCCCTCGACCATCGTCATCGCCTTCCGGAACCGACTGCTGCCGTGATGAAAGCTCCGGTGAGGAAGGTCGTGAGCGGCGCACCGGCGGAGGGCTGCCTGGCCCGGCCGCAACAGCAGCAGCAGCAGCAGCGGGGGGGGTTTTGACCTGCTCAGCTGAACCCGGTCGTCCCGTCATGGAGCTGCCCGGCCGACGGGATGATGCAGACGTGGAGGGGCGAGACGAGGCGGCGGTCGTAGGCCGCACGCCTCCGTCATCACCGGCACCACCGTCCCCAACCCCCTCATCCCGACCCGCCGGAGCCGGAGCCGGCCTGGATTCGCTGGAGCTCCAGTCCCCTCCGCTGGCACCCAGCGGTGCGCCGCCATCCTTGCTCTCCGGGCCCCCCAAGAATCCAGCGGAAGCAGCGGCGGCGGCCACTGCCATGCCGCTTAAGCTACCCGTCCGACGGAGACGGACGCTCAGTGGGGTAGCCGACAGGAGGACACCTCCCCCGGCAGGCTCCGCCGTCACGAACTGACCTTCACTGGTTCCGGCTACAGCAGTCGGAGCGGCGCTGTCCGTCCCCGCCGCGACCACTTGCGAGCCCGGCTCCGAGTCACGCCGGCTAAACGACGTCCCCAGCGAGCCCCGGGGGCCTGGAGGAACTGGTGTATGTTGCCGGATGGGTGGCCGGGCCACCAACGCGGAAGCCGTAGACGCCACCAGGCTACCTGCCGGACTAACCTCCGCCACGGCGTCCGGTTGCTGCGCTCCTGCCGTGGGTGGTCGAGGAGGCTGTCCCAGCGACCCAGCCCGCGATTCCCTTCGGGACAACGAACTACTTGGCGCGTCAGCTGCAGCGGCCGCGGCGGCAGCGGCAGCTGCCGGCGTCTGCTCATACGCAGTCTCCGCCGACTCCCTCAGTACCGCATGCTCTCCTGAGTCCCGAACCACGGCCTCCTGCGCCACCTCCCACCGCCGCCGCTGCGTCGGCGCCGACCCCACAGACGAGGACACCGAGGCGGTCACATCCGTTGCCCCCGGCCCCGCCATCGCCACCCCATCCTCAGCTTCCAGCTCGGAAATTCGCGTCATGTGGCCCTTTGCTCTCGCTGCGTCTCGCGCAGAGCCCTCCTCGGCGTCCCCGTCGCCGCCGTCGCCAAGGTAGCCACTTCCTCGTACACCCGTCGCATCCCAAGGCGGCTGAAGTCCGCGCGCCAGGGACGTGGGCGTGATGGGTTTAATGTAGCTGCGCCGCCGTGCAGACGTGGGCGTGCCGGCGCCACTGAGGCGAGCACCCTCCAGAGCCCGTGCCGCCGCCAGAATGCTGGTACTGGCTGTGCTGGTGGCAAGGGCAACGTAAGCAGAGGACGGCCGACTGCCGCCGCTGACGCCGCCGCTGGCGGCACTGCCGCGGGGTAATGCATGGGCATGTGTAGAGCTGCCGGCCACTAACGGCAAGTCCTCGGGATTTAGGGACGCCGTAATGCGGCTGCGCTGGACGGACGACGGCAAAGGGCTGCTCGGGCAGTAGACGTCCTCAGCGGTGGCGTCAACGTCGCCGCTGCCGACGCCGCCAAGCGGTGGCAGCGGAGGCGACGCAGGCATCGTCCCCGAAGCCGAGAGACCGTTCGAGCATCTAGTACGCACCTCCCCGCCATCTCCTCGATCATAGCCTGTGGCGGCGGTGGAATCTGCCGGGCAGCGAAGAGTGCCTCTCCCACGACTGGCAGCGGCATCCACAGCACTTGCATCAGGGTCTCCCTCGGGGTCGAAGTCCGTCCCCCCTGGAGCTGACTCAGCTTCTTCCGCCGCTACGTCCACCGCAATAAGGAGGAGGGGGGGAGGAGGGTTGCAAACGCGTCGAAGGTGTCCGATACAGTCAGCAGCAGCATACCCAAGGAATATGTACTAGGATAGCGGAGGCCGCCGGGTAGGAGCACCGCAGCTAGATGGGTTACAGAAGCCGCTGCTATCTGTAAATCCACTCCGGTTCCACTCAGTACCACCCCGCTACCATCCATTCGCCGCGGCCCACCTCCAGGGCTAAAGTCCCCAGAACTCTTTCCTTCCCCCCCTCCCCACACGCACTACGACTCCAGCTGCGAGCAGCTCCACCCGGTTAGTTGCAACATTAAAACCAAACAATCCCAAGTGGAATGTCCCAAGTGGAATGCAAATGTGAATCCGTCAGCAGGGCAGCACGCCGCTCACGTCTCACTGCCGCCCGGTCGTGTGGCCCGTCTCTCTAACCCCGGGCCCTCCACCATGAGCCCAAACATCCCGTCCACAGGAAAACGCCGACGCACATCAGCCGACGCACCTGCATCCGCATCCGCGCATCCTCCATCCTCGGCGGTGTCCGCATCAG